CCCGATGTTACCAAACCACACGGCAGGCCATTAACTGAAGTCCATTGTAAGTCCCAAGGTCAGCAGAGCATAGCAGGCTGCTGAGCAACTACATGGCTACATGTGGGGTCCAATCATGCCACAGGCTAGAGACCAGTCTCAAAGCTTCTCCTTATATACAGGAAGCAGACCACATACCCAAAGGCAACTACTCAGCTGCTCCCAGTAGATTCCACCATGGAGTTGATTACCAGTCTCATCATGGGGAATACTACATCCAGCTGCCCAGCCACTCAACCAGGCCTAGCCAAGTTGACATACAAACATAACCATCACAGTATATATATCTATGTATGAATCAAAAGACTTGAAGAAATTATGGGTGGCTTCTAAATTGCATCCAAAAGGTCATTTGTTAGTACATGAAACTTGAAACATACACATTTCCCCTCTAGAATTAAAGCTACATCTGGTAGGTGGGGCCATTGGCCAGACTACTTACCATTTTAATCCATCAAATGGCTGAACTGTAGCACTGGCTGCACTAGTTTGAGTATAGAGAGATGGGAACCACACGTTAGAAATGAGGGACAAGGGTCTCTAAATAATTTTGAAATAAGTGGTTTGCTCTGGCTATTTTACTACTTCTAGCACTCTACTCTCATCTACAAAGGCACCCAAAAAGTGAGCTTTCTGTAATAACTTCTTCACAGACCCTCACTGAGTCTGTGGGTTTTCTCCACCGCACTGCACTCTTTCGGGTAAAGTTACAGACCTTTCCTTCAGTTAAATCACAGACTGCTGTTAATCTTCGCTAGGTGTCAGTTTGAGTCACTGGACTTGCTTTTAATTCACACAAATGTGTAAATGACTAACTGATGGTGCTTTAACCTTCCCAGAAGTATTTGCATTTTGAAAAAAGGATATTTACAACCTGTTGAGGATTAAGAGCTCTGATAGCTAGTGGCTAAGGCACTTGATTGGTAACCAGAAGGCTAGAGGTTCAAACCCACCAGCCACTCCTTGGAAGGAAGGTTGGGCAATCTGCTTCCGTAGTGATACTGCTTCGTAAACCCAAGGAGGGGTCGCTATGAGTCGGGTCCGACTCTAGGGCACATAACAAGTTGAGGATTATGCTGGCAAGGCAGTGCTGCCCAAAGCTGGTCTCTAAGTTGTCCCAGCTTTCCAGGGGTTCTTCTCTTCTCACTTCTGAACCTATTTGCTAAAAGTTTCAGCAGGAGGAGGAGAAGGAGGAGGAAGGGCACGCAGGTGTGGGTCCAACTTAGTAGTTCACACTTTGACCCTCGCTGGCTAACCCGTCAGCACCCCACAACAGGGTATAGGAGATTTGGCAGGCACCAGGGCCAGCCAGCAGCTGGAAGACAGGCCCCAGAGTTGGGTTCATGAACTTTGGAATGTGGAGCAGGAACCCGAATTTCTGAAACGTATTCCAAGTGACTGACTGCATTTTGAGAAAGACACTTGGGGGTTAAATAATTTTTTTTTTTTTAAATGTAATTTTACCCTGTTGTTGTTGTTATGTGCCCTGGAGTTGTCTCCAACTCAGAGCCACCCTTCCTTGGGTTTCCAAGGCGGTATCACCCCAGAAGTAGATTGCCCAATCATCCTTCCCAGGACTGTCTGGTGGGTTTGAACCGCCAGCCTTCTGGTTAGCAGTCAAGTGCCTTAGGCACTATGCCACCAGAGCTCCCAACTTTACCCTAGTGACATAATTTATTTCCTACAGGATACATAACATATTAAAAGGGGAAAATAAATTTCATTTTAGTTTCCTTTAATACTCCAAGTTGTGTCAAGTAGGAATTATATGCTGAAAGCATCTGCTTGAATTCACCCAAATCGCCCCAAGAAAACAAAAAATGCCCTAATTTGATCCTAAGGCCCATTGTTTCAGATTCTAAAATTACATTTCTTTTCAATTGTTCTTATGTTTAGTGAATGCCAGAAATTTTCAAATGTAGGTCAAAGAAATTAAGAAAGAAAACAAATCAACCACGTTTGCAGGCAGATTAAAGGTTTCGTATCATAGGGTTAAATGTGTATTATCAATTTATTTTCCAAATTCGAGCCCCAGTTATGGCCCAGATTTATTACTCTTTAAACAGTAAGTCAGCATAAAATATGAAAATGTAACAGCAGTTAATGGAAGTAACTCTCACTCAGGAAATGCTTAGATTGGTTTCTGAAAGTCGGGTAAGCTTTGAAATTTTTTTGTGCATATTTGATGATGAGCCTAAAAGCAAGCAAGCAAGCCCAACCTCTGCAGAACTCAAGGACTCATTTTACAAAAACAAAACAAAACAAAAAAACCCAAACTCACTGCCATGGAGTCCATTCTGACTCACAGTGACCCCCTCTGGGTTTCCCAGCCAGAAAATCTTAATGGAAGTAGGTTGCCCAGTCTTCCTTCCGCAGAGTGGTTGATGGGTTTGAACCACCAACCTCTGGTTAGCATTCAAATGCTTTAGGCACTATGCCACCAGAGCTCCTTGTATTTAACAAAAGATCCAGTTAATGTTGTGGCAGGCCTTGACTTCAGAATTTCCTGAACTAATTGACTAATATCTCAATCTTTATTTTAAATGCCTTTGCATTTAAGTATTTATAATTACTTTCTACGTGCACAGGAGATGTCTTATTCTTGACAGCTGGGGCCCTCTTTTTCAACTCTCCATTCAAGGAAAGGGAAAGCAACACTAGAGTGTTTTATTTATTTATTTATTTATTTTTACTAATCTAAAACAAGAAGAAATATACCCTGAAGCCTTAAAACCAAACAACAGTTTAGCTTAATTAAAGAAGGTTTACCTTAAGCACTGTATTTTTTTAAGATACATCCATACGGGATCAAATGGACAACAGCAACTGAAAAGAGCAGATAGGAAACTGAAGCAGCCGTGAGTTAATGGGGGAGGAGTAATTCAGAAAAGGAAGATGAGGATGATTCCACAACGTGAAGAACGTCACCAGTGTCACTGACTTGTACATGCAGAAATTGCTGGTGTGTGTTCTGCTGTGCATAGCCTCAGCAAAAAAAAAAAAAAAAAAAAAAAAATCATCAGACAAAATCTTACTTGATGTTAATGGGAAAGAGCAGTTTTCAAAGTTTACTTGAAAACTATACAGTACTGTAGTAGTCCCTAACTTATGACATATTCGAGTCCTAACAAACCAGTTACAACCACCTGTCTTTTTGAATGTTTTTGTACATATTACCATTAGCAATATGTACTACATACAGTGTTGAAAATAATTTGCTGATGTCATGCTATCTGGAAGTTTATAAGTAATGTTTCCAACCCTCAAGGACAAACACACTGCATTTATAAGATACTGATAAAAGGCAATAATAATAGGGAAAAGAAAAGGTATTCAACTTACATCAGAACAAACTTAACGATGGAGTCTGAGAATGGAACCCTATCAATAAGTCAGAGACTACTGTATTATCGCCGTGACTGGTTTCTGCCCTTCCCAAAACCAAATCTTTCCAAAGGCCAATGCCAGCACATTAAATATACTCTCTAGTTATTCTTTCTTACTTCAAATATTTCATGGAAAATTATTTGCAAAGTCCTTTCCAGTCCTTCCTTTTTTCCTAAGGTAGGTGGGAGGAGTCAACAGGGTGGATGAGAAAGAGACAGGAAAGGAGTTCTGGGAGACAGAATAGGCTGTTTGAAGGAAAAAATCTGTATAAAGTGGCTGTAATTTATTATATCTCGCTTTTTTCTTACCAGAGATCAACAATTGTTTTGTTAAATACTAGAACAATATTGAACTGAACTTAGCCTAACACCTAGAATGAAGTTGTCAATCCACCTGGTATTGGCAAAAAAGAAAATATGAATAAAAGGAGACCAAAGGGAAAAACCACTTAAATGGAAAACAAAGACAAAATTCAAATTTACTTTGAAAAATCTGATTTTATTTTCTGAATCAAAAAGAAGTATGTTTATGTTAAATTTAGAATGTTTGGTTCCACTGATGTCTCGAAATACTTTCCAGATATTGTTAACAGTGCTCAGAACTGTGTAAAAGTTAACATCCAATACCACATTTTAAAGAAAAAAAGTTAAAAAGTAGGAACTATTTCTAAGAAACTCTTCCCAAAGGTCAAGGCATTGGCAATTTTAATTTAAAAAGAAAAGAATTTTAACAATTATTGGAAATTTAGGTGACAATGATTTTTAAGAGTTAAAAATCAGATCTCTTTTAAAACAGAAAAATTTAAAATATCTGTGGGAAACATACCTGACAATAACTCTAATTATACATAATACTCCCCTACCCCCCAAATTACTAAATGTATTATTTCAACTTGGAACAGGAAAATTATAAAATGAAACTTTAAAATTGTACTATATATATATTACTACACCATCTTAACTGTCATGTTTGCTAGGATAGTTATGAAATTAAAACCAAATTCTGCATTCAAGGGACAAATGGTAAATGTTCTTTCATTGTTTAATTTAAGAGTCCATTTTAGTCTTTGTTGTTTTCTCCTCCCGTATTTTAAAGTCATGTCCAAGGGCCAAGAGTCAATCCATTTACCTGAAATGAACAGCCAGTAGGTATTGGTCCTCTACATGGGCCTTCTAACAAGCCCAGGAGCCAAGAGAGCAGCGGTATTTCTATAACATGATTTAGGGACACTGTAGAATTCCAAAGTGAATCTACTCACAGGCTATTCATGTGTACTGCAGCATGGCCAGCATGCAGGCAAACTTCTTTTGTTTGTCGAAGTTAAGGTAAAATAGATCCCCTTCCCCTAAAAAACCCAAACTTAATATTAACAGAAGCTACACAATTAGAACTAATCCTCTTTTGCCGCTTGTTTCACAAAAACTGATTTTTAAGTTTTCTTACAAATAAGAGACTCTAAAGCCAGTAATATCTCCAATTCCAGTCATCTCAAAAATCAGGTTTCTTCTTTCAAAGCCATTATTAGTAAACAATGTTTTGAAATGAAGAAAAACAGTTTCTTCCCCAGAATCTGAATTTTGTACTCAGCATGCTACAGTTTCTAATTATTTTTCAAATTCAGAAAGAACTCATATCTGGGTACTCTTTGATATTTTTACAGATACCAAGTGATACCAACAGGATTCATAAATATGATTTTCTGACACAGGAGGTAAAGTCTGCTAAACAGCTACAGAATACCAACAGTTCTTCTTCAAGTATAAAAGATGGATGAGAATTAGCAGTTATGATTAGGTTTTCAATACAAACACAAATTTAAATCCTGATATTTTTGCTAACATTTTAAATAATCAACTTTTACTCCACTTTCAAATCAAAACAAACAAAAATACGAATGAAAATTCCCAACTGGCAACAAGTCCCATACTCCAATCTTATTTTCAACCCAATGTGTGTGTGCCAGTGTTATTTATATGAATCTTCTTGTTTTATTAAATAAGCACTGGTCAGTTATATAAGAATAATTTTCAAGAATGGTAATTGGCACTGGGTTCCTTAATGCTTCCAGAATACACAGAAGCACTCAGAAAATACCAGCTCTTAAGTACTTTTTTTAAATCCATAATTTGAATTTCTAAAAGTGATTTTTAAAGGTTACGGTTCCATTGATAGATTCTAGGGAGTCTAGTCCTGGCTGACATAGTTGATTTTAAAAAACAAATAAATCTCTAAGCTACATGGTAATGGAATACTTCACTTGCTTTTTATATCATACAGAAACGCTTACAAGCATACCAAAATCAAAGTACTGTAAAATAAAGTTCATCTTACATACCCCAGAGCAGGAAAGTTCAAAAATCAAAATCAACCCCCAACCCCAAACAAAAACTCACACAAAACATTTTAGTTCTGAGCTTAACATTCCCCCAAAAGATGTTAGTCCGAGAGGCTTTAAGGTACTTAAAGCTGTAGCAGTAACTGTTTTAAAGTGCCACACTACAGAGGGAATGCTGTACAGGGTTCAGCGGCTGCCCACCCATCCCTCACCTCCCCCCACCCAGTAACATGTAAAAGCTCCTGTTAAAGTTTTTTTCTTATGTTAATAAAGGCATACCACCTAGTGCGCTAAAGACTAAGACTAGCAGCATTAGAGCAATAAAGTGAACTCAGGAAGCCTACAGGAATGATCTAAATGCCGACTCAGAAGGAACAATGCAGCGGATAGGACCCTTTGCCCTTGTTTTGTTTGTAGGGAAGTGGTTGAATTAGACAGTCACATTTACCCACATTAACAAAAATTTAACAAAGCTTCCCCAAGATACCAGAATAAAACCTGACCTTTCCAGTCAAAGGGTACAGAGAGCCCTCTTCCATGTCATGGAGTTGAACGTGTTCAAAGATTGGCAATAAAAGAAAAAAGAAAGCGTTAGGGGTGTGATGGAACAAGCCTTGGAGTTTATCGGACAGTCACACCAAGTTTCTCCAGTACACGGACACCCTTTTCTTGGTATTCTTGTCGGGTCATCCAAAAGTTGTCTTTGTCTTTCATGATATCGGCCAGAACGGCGCCACCCAGGAACACCATGTGCTTTCTGCGAGGGGGGTCTTCAATGCGGATCTTAAATTTCTAAAGGAGAAAAAGGGAATAATAAAATGTTACACATGCATAGTGCATTCTGCTTTATGAAAATGACTTTTTCATAGATTCTCTTGTTGAGTTCTCTCAACAGTTCTGTGAGGTAAGTAGGACGGCAGGATTTGGCATCTGAAGTTCAGAGACAGTAGTAAGCCAGTTGCCCAAAGCTCATTGCTAAGGGTCTCCTATGTCCATTTCAGTGTGCCTGGGACAGTCTGGATTTACATCTGTTGTTCCATCATCATCAACAGCACGCTTTCACTCTCAGATTGTCCTGTTTTGAATGATAAATTACGCATTCACTCTACTGATGGCCCAAGTGTCAGAGTCCTGATTATCCTACCATCCAGGGTGTGTGTGTGTGTATGTGTGTGGTGGGAATACACAGGCAAGTCACTTAACTGTTAAATGAAGAGTTTCCAAAGACTATTTATAAGACTTCTTTGTGGTTTAATGCCTCTGTAATTCTAATCTGGTACAATACAAGAAAACTGAAGCTCTTTTCCTATAAAGCAAAGCTCACCTTCTGCTGATTCAAATTCAAGTGAAATGTACTCAAAATAAGTAAGACCAAATATGGTCAAAATAAATCATGGGGATGTTAGAGAAAATTAGCATAGTAACCAAAATTAAAAACAACAGGGAAAGTTTTGTACCACAGAGCTACCAAGTTAACAGCTTAAAATGAAGGATATCCACCAATCTATACGATCAAAGACCAGAAAAAGAAACCTCAAAATGACACAGCAGTTACAAATTACAAATTCCTCAAGACTCAGAATAGGTGTCACTCTAAACTGTTTCTTTATGTCACATGAACGTATTACAGGAATCTGGTAATATGTGACACGGAAAACATCTTTACTTAATTCTAAGGAGCTCTGATAGCATAGTGCCTAAGGCACTTGACTGCTAACCAGAAGGCTGGTGGTACAAGCTCACCAGCCACTCCTCAGAAGGTTGGGCAATCTACTTCTGTAGTGATATTGCCTCGGAAACCCAAGGAGGGGTCACTATGAGTCAAGTCTGACTCGAAGGCACATAACAACAACAAAGGCTAACCTATTGTAAATGTTCTAGTTACATCTTTGCTCTAAGGCAGGGGGTTAGCAAACTTTTTCTATAAAGACAGTAAATAGTTGAGGTTACAGTGGTCTCTCTGGCAACCCCCTAACTCCTCATAAAGCAGGAAGTCAGCCACACACAGTATGTAACAGTGTGTATACAAATGCGCCTTGGCTGTGTTCAGTAAAACCTCACTTGACTTGGCCTAATGGCAGTAGTGGCCCATCCTTGCTCTAAGGGAAACTTAGCTAGCCCCTGAGGACACTTCTTTCTCTGAAGCTTTCTCAAACTGGCTGCTCTTAGTTATCACTATGTTTCTACCCTTCAGAGATCTGGTAACAGTTCCTGCTTTTTATTGCTGCTTCTACCTCCTTCCTCCCTATACCTCCACAGCACCTGTGAAGTTCATTCCATCAGACTACTCCACCCACCATTCCTCTTTGCTACTGTCACCTATAGATTCCAAAGGTTATTTCTTCTTAATCTGCTCCGACCGCCCAAGAGTACATTCTCTCTCCACCATTTCCTGTCATTATCCTTAGTGACTTTATCCTTCTCTCCCTTTATCATACTTGGCAAAACACCAACATTCTGGTTTTCAACTCTACTTTGCGTCTGCCCTCCAGCAGCTGAACAAGACAGGAAAGCAACCCACTTTCTTGCTTGAAATGTATCACTAACTGCAACTGAACCCTGAGTGCTGCCTGGCAACCCTTCTATTTCTCTCTCCTCTCCAAGACAACCATTTCACACTGTCTCCTCTGTTTCAAACCTCTATTACGTCCTACCTCCTCTCAAGATGAAACCACAATGGCCATGAGTTGTTCTTTAAGCCCCCTCTACTTTTATATATGTTTCCATAATAAAAAGTTATATATACGTATGTACAGATTCCACAACTCCCCCAAGCAATACTTGCCATCTCCATCTTTTTTACCTGGAAATTATTACAAAAGCCTTTTAACTGGTCTTTCCACATCTATCTTTGTCCTCCTGCCCCACCTCAACAGTTTATTTAACACACTATAGCCTTAATGATACCTTAAAAAGCATAAGTCAAGTTCTTATCATTTCTCTGCTCAAAATCCTCCCAAGGTTTCCCACCTCATTAGAGTAAAAGCCAAACTCTTTACCATGTGTAAGATTCGCCTCCCTGCTACTTTTCTGACTTCATCTCCTGCCATCTCTTGCTCAGTCTTACCAACTGGGTGGGGATTTTGCACTTGCTATCCCCCTGCCTGGAGATTCTTTTCCCTAAGAAGGCACAAGGCTTACTCCCTTCCTCACTCCATTCAGGTTTCTAGTCAAAAGTCATCTCATCAGATTAACTACATGAGGAGACACACCACTTCCCCAATCACTACCATTTTCTAGTCCTTAATCTTACTTTAGGAGCTCCGGTAGCACAGTGTCTAAGGCACTTGACTGCTAACCAGAAGGCTGGTGGTTCAAACCCATCAGCCACTCCTCGGAAGGAAGATAGGGCAATCTACTTCCGTAGTGATACTGCCTCAGAAACCCAAGGAGGGGTCGCTGTGAGTCGGGTCCGACTTGATGGCACATAACAATAACAACCACCACCTTACTTTATTTTTCTTCATTGCACGTGTTGTATTTAGACTGAAAGCAGAGATTTTGTTTTTGTTCACCACTGTTTTGTTCATCCCCAGTGTTTGGTACTCAGGTGCTCAAGAAATATTGGCTAAATAAATGAACACCTGAGATTGGTTTTGAATTATATGTATAATTCAATAAAATAAGAAAAATGAGTGAAGTACTTATACAGCATGGCTCCTTTTCAGTCTTTTAATTGGTTAATGTATGTGAGTCCACACTCAATTCCAACAATTTGAGTCATAAATGAAAGATATATATTAGTGCCTCCAAAACACATAGTATTCTGTAATATGTGATCTCAAATCTCATTATTTCAAAGAGCTGATCAAAGTCAAGTGAGACAAAACACAGAGATTAACCCAGGATGAGATGATTCTAGGTTGAATGCACAGTACATAGTGTAGCTCACATAGTCCAGAGTTTGTTTAAAAAAAAATCAATGCCAAGGAACTATCAACTTATTACATACTAGTGAAGATATTCTTTCTACTTCTCAAATCAACAACTACCAATTAAAACATTTCAAGAGCTATGACAATCGTTGGGGATGCAACAGAACTGGCAACATGGATGTTTTACAATCTGGGGAAATAAAATGCAAAAACTAACCAAAAACCAAAACCAAAAACCTACAACGAGAAACAGAAGATTGTCCAAGAGTAGTACTAAAGGCTGAATACATACTCAAAAGTAAGTTTCAGGAAAAAATCCAAGTGGGGCATTTATTTTTCCACAATAGTCAGCTGTTCAAAGAAGCAGATGGGTATGTTCCCGTGTACTTGCAGGCATTTTGATTTCAGGCCAGTTACTACAGATGAGCCAGAACGCCTGGCCTTGAATTTAGTCACCTCGGACCAGGCAGTTTGACCATTCTGGGGCAGAGCTTACCTGGAACCATTTACTTCTTCCTATCTCTTCAAGGCTGTACTTGACTGTGTTAGGAATTCTTTTAGAAAGACTTCTTGCTCCCTCTAGTGGTTGTAAAGAATTACTTACAGAATTTTAAAAGTATGCTTGGATTACTGACTGATACTTACAGAAAGTTTTTCCACGTCTCCCTTTAAAACTCTTTCTAAGTAAAGCTGTTTAAGTTCACGTTCCAGCCGTGAAGGCAGCCCAGGGTACATAGTCGATCCTCCAGAAAGGACAATATGTTTATAGAATTCAGATCTAGAAAGACATAATAGGGCATTCATGTGGGGTTCCTCATAAACAAAACCGTTTCTTAGGGTTACTGTTATTTATGTCAGCCTTAGGGGTTTATTGTGAGAAATAAAATTCTGTATGTATAGTACAGGGTTTAGTGTTTCGCTATAACTGCTACTGATAACAAACTCTCTTTATATATAAAATCCTTATAACTTTGATGAAAATGCTTCAAAGCACATTATATACACTTTCTTGCAAATGTAACTGAGTCTTTCACTAATGCCAGGCTTTACATTATGTGTACTGTGTTACCACAGAGCTTCCCTAGAGTCACCAAGGCATGGTTAACTAGAATTAACCATATTCTGCTGTGATTTGAGTTCTTGTTTCCAATATTCCCATTTGTTTTTTGTAATTTTCCCTTCCCTTTGCCTTGAGGCTGTCAGTTATTTTTGGCTAAACTGATGTGCTTGCTGCTTATAGCAGTCCCTTCTTTCTTCCTTAAATATCAACTCTCAAACAACTGCTGCATATGTAGTAAAAGTAATATAACGAGTGAGGGTCCAAGGAACTCTTCCCATAGTAAAGCGCAGCAGCTGAGTCACATGCACTTTGGCCTCAAACTGACTTCCGGGCTTTTACCGCATTTTTTCATAAATAACGTACCACATGTATAATGTTCATAACATGCACACGAAGCTCACGTGCGAGGGCTTGTACAATTTGCGTGTGCACACACATACACACAAAAGTACAGCATGTACTTATTTGTATGAAAATACAGTACTTAATTCCAGATTCTCAGATGGGTTCTTTATGGGTAAGTCTACTATAATTCTAGCTTCTGGAAAAGCAGTGTTTTTTGCATTTAATTGAGGAATTAAGCACAAAATAATTATGCACCGTGAATGTAGCATAAGCCAAGCAGTTGAAGTATGGCTACATGTGATATGTACACATGTCAATTTACATGTACATTTTCAATATGTAGAACATACAGAACGTGTAATTTGAGTTCTGCCACTTTCCATTGTAAGCTCTGTAGAGAAGATACTGAACCTGCCTCTTATTCTTCAGGAATCCCAAAATTTTATCACCAAAAATAGGCATATACTTTTAAATACAATTTTGCTACCAATGATTATTAAATCAAGGGAAAAAAAAATCTCTACCTAATTCCTACTGTTGAGAATTTACTACAATTATTAGATTTTGATCATCTCCACTAGGCCTATAGCTTATATCAATCTCAAGCACTACTATTCTTATCAATTTCCATTATTATTCTGTTCCTCAGCCATTTCATCAAAATTAAGTAGGTGGTTATTTAAGATAAAAAAAGTAAAAAAATGAACACTTGCTTTACAAAATGCTTCCAGTTAACCTTTATAATCTGAGATAGGGGAGGGTTTTGTAATTGTGACTCAAATTCCAGACTTAATGAAAGATTTATAAATATGACTAAATAAGATAAGTGTTTCTGGATAACACCACAAGCAAAAGGCAAACAGCAAAAAGGAGAAAAACATTTGCAACATATATTACAGAGCTAGCATTAAAAGAACTTAAAAACTGAGAGAAAAAAAAGACCAAAAATTCTACAGAAGAGCAGGCAAAAGCCATGAACAGACAGTTCACCAAAATAAAAAAAGCCCTTAAGCATACAAAAATAGGTTCAACTTAATTCTTAATAAGAGAAATCAAAATTAAACTGCACTGAAGTATCATTTCTCACTCATCAGAGTGGCATAAAAGTGAAAAAGTTGACAAACTCTGTGAAGCTGTGGAGAAGCAGGTACCCTTATACCCTACTGGCAGGATTCCCCCCCACAGGGAAATGTGGCAGTCTCTAACAGAACTACATGCATTTTACCCACGGATCCAGCAAATTCTCTTCTGGAAAAGTCTCCAGAATATATATACATGCCCAACAACACAAAAATACATGCACATACCAAGGTTATTTAAACTACAGCATGACTCATTATTGTAAGTATTGTCATCTACCTAAATAAACAATCAAATGTGTTGAATAAACTATGATACATTTACACAATGGTGTTATTATCCAACTGGAAAAAAGAATAAAGAAAACTGCTATGAAATTGTATATGATAATTTATGACATTGTTAAGTAAAAAAAGTACAGAAGAATACTTATGTAAGAAAGGAGATGAAATAAGAACTAGAAAGGATAAACTAGAAGCTAATGAGATGATACTTACAAGAGGGAACAGGATTAGGGTAGAACGTCTTAATACCCATTTTTTGTACAGTTTTGACTTTTGAAATCATTTCAATGTTCTACATATTAAAAAAAAATAATTAAGGATGAGCCAGGAATATCCTTGTGCCACAAAACAGAACATGCTCAAAAAGGATGGGGCATGTCATAGTGTAGAGGAACCAGCTTGAAGGGGTTCTCATTGGTCACCTCAGGGACAAACTGACCATCAAAATACAGACAGTAATAAACTAAAACTCACTGAATTCACAAGTCCATACTGATTTTAGATTAATAAAGGAAAAATGCTTCATTATGGCAGAATATCAACTAAGAGATGTAGAAGGAATGGTGGAGTTAGATAAATCGCCATTTGCTAACCATCACAATAAAAATGAATATGAATTTGGCAAGAATCCTGAAGATGCTAAAAAGGGTGGGAGATGGCAGAGTTTGATAAAGAAAAGAATATTTAACATTCTCAAATTACTTCTCACAAATTACTTATTAATTATGAAAAGAAGGATAGTATACCTATACAATGGAGAAAATACATTTCAGTAAGAGCTCAACACTAACATCATCAGTAAGGGACGGGCACTGCATTCTCTGGATGTGATCTTCCAAGTATACATCCCGTGCGTAATACTGCAGCCCAAAATGCTCAACCTGAATCTAATCAAACTGGGGAAAAGTCTCCAAAATAACTAGCCCGTACTCTTCAAGGATGCCAATGTCATGAGAAACTGAGGAAATGAACCAGATAAACAGAGACTAAGAGAAATGAGGAGCCTTGGTGGCACAGTGGTTAAATGCTTGGCTGCTAACCTAAAAAGGTCAGTGATTTGAACCAACCAGGTGCTCCAGTGGTGAAAGATCTGGCAATCTGCTCCCTTAACGAATTCAGCAGTTCTACTCTGTAACACGGGGGTCACTCGATGTGAACACTGTCAGAATCAACTCAATGGCACATGACAAGAGACATGACAGCTAAATACAATGTATGGTCCTAGATTTGATCCTATAGTGTGTGTGTGTAAAACTGTATAAGGCTATTATAGGAACAGAGGATGCAAGTGAAACATAGATGATAAATAAAAGTATATCCGTAATAAAGTCCTGAACTCGATTAAGTACACTGTGATCATACAAGAGAATATCTCTGTTCTTAGGAAATACAAACTGAAAATAAGCAATGAAGGGGACTGAAGCATGCAATCTACTTCGCAAATGTTTCCAGAAAAAGAGAGAGAGAGAGTATGATAAAACAAGTATGAAGAATCTGTAAAATGGTGAAACTGGATAATAGTATACATAAATTTTACTATTCTTGCAACTTTTAAGTTTGAAATTATTTTAAAATAAAGTTTAAAGTGGTTTCTAAGAAACAATAAAAAGAGATCTGGTAGCACTATGCCTAAAGCATTTGACTGCTGATCAGAAGGTTGGTGATTCAAACCCACAACCGCTCTGTAGAAGGCAGATGGAGCAATCTATTTCCATACAGATTTACTGCCTTGGGAACCCAATGAGGGTCACTATGAGTCGGAATCAACTTGATGGCAGTGAGTTTGGTTTTTTTTGGTAAGACACAATGATATCATGTTGCCCAACATCCAATGTCAATATATATAAAAAAATTATTTTGCCTTATCTATTAAAAAACACTAACGAGGTAACAGACACCTTGGTTATTCTTACAATTTACATTTGATCTATTTCTAACAAACACCTTTGAAACCACTTCTAACTATCATTTGAAACCACCATTTCTAATGTACCTGGTATCAATGTCAGCTGCTTGAATTGTGTTAAAAAGCAATTCAGCAACACCCACTCCTTCTACATTGATCAAGTGAGGCTGAAATAAAGCTTCTGGTGCTTCAAATCTCTCTCCCCCAACTTTGATAATGCGGCCATCCGGGAGCTATAAACAGAAACCAAGAATTATTAGGTACTAGTCAGCAACAGATTTAAAAATTCTCCAGATTTCTGCAGAACATTGGTACTCTTAAACACATTTATTTTGTAGATAAAATCGATTTCAGCCAACATTTTTCCCTAAAAATTACTTTTTTTTTAAAAAAAAGGAAAAATAAAAATTAAGACATTCAGATATTCTTATTATCATGTTCTCTTCTACCTTTAAAAAGTGGTATGCCCCAAATATCAAGAAATACAAGGAAACTGTTTGAGACATCACTAATGCACAAATGCATGACGTTCCATGTTTGAGTGAAGCAAAACACTGACAGCCGCCACTGACCAATCAACTACTGCTCTGTCTGCTGCTGGTATGTGTGAATGCTGCTTGTTTTTTTAAAAAAACCCCAACACATTTGTGATTTTATAGATATTTTTACCATGCAGAATGTTGTTGTTATGTGCCATCAAGTCGGACCCGAGTCATAGCGACTTCTCCTTGGGTTTCTGAGGTAGTATCACTATGGAAGTAGATTGCCCCATCTTCCTTCTGAGGAGTGGCTGGTGGGTTTGAACCGCCAAGCCTTTTGGTTAGCAGGCAAATGCCTTAGGCACTATGCTACCAGAGCTCCTAGAAGAAAGGCTTCACTGACCAGGAATCGAACCCGGGCCACAGTGGTGAGAGCGTGAATCCTAACCACTAGACCACCAGGGAGCATCATGCAGAATAGGCACATGAAATAAAACATCTAAAATAATTTCTTTCACCAAATAATTACTCTATGAAATGTTACTATTTTGCCATCAAAACACTTTTTATAAGTTTCATGGCAAAACAGTGACTACTTCTGCCAAATCATTTACCTCACAGTGTTTTATGATCAAAAAAGTTTAAGGGACACTGATCCAGTATTACTTTCTATTATGTAATTCTGTTGTATCCTACTTACAAGGTTCTATTTAATTTTAAATAACAGATAAATTTTAATTGAAGCAAGTTAGATTTAGGTAACAGGTCAGATATTGCAACAAGAAGACTTTGTGCAGAAAGCTCTTATGTCATACTATGTTGTATTTCATTAAAAGAGAAATGTTAAGTGGAATCTCCCTCTCCTACACCACGACCACCTCACAACTCATTACATCAGCATAAGAAACAAGCACTGTCAATGTATGCTGGCAATTGACATACATTTATACATGAGGTATCAGAATTAGCTTTACATTAACATTCCTAAAAATATACTTATTTTTAATATGATTACATTATATTTAGATTCTAAAATTAACTTACCATGACAAAGTGTCACCAAAGCAAGTTCTCTTAAAATATTTGTTCCACATTTGTTGTAACTGTTTACGTGCAAACCAATCACATTTTTAAAAAGTTCAGAATTTAAGTAATTTTTTTAAAGGCCCAAGATACCTGGGAAAACTTCAGTGTAAGGCAGTTATTGGCAAAACTCTTTTTCTGATGCACTTCCAGCATCTCTGATATGTGTGGCTTCTCTGAATACTATGGCCACTGGCCAGCATGGGGTCCAATATCTCACCTACCTCCACAATTCAGAATTATTAAGGCCAACTGTATGGTTTCCCCTTTCTTTGTACCACATTTTATCCTGTCCTTTGTCTTTCCTTGTTTCTCATCAATTTACTGTTTCATATTTGTGCCATATATTTTTGTAAACCTACCTCAAATTCTTTTGAGAAAGGAAGGAAAAAATAAGTAACACATATCCTCATCCTCTGCCTTGTGTCACTTTCTTCCAAAACAAGTCAGACAGGTGACAAATTAGAAACTAGGGAAACTATCAACAAGACTTTCTTTTTCAGAAGAGAAGTTGGCTAACCTGAAGATTATGAAGTTGCCAAAAGGATTTTACTGTCTATATGGGTTGGTTATGTTTTCAAAATAAAACAATGTAATGTATAAATATTTACAATTATTTCTAAATTAATTTAAAAATGATTGCTTTGCAAATATCTGTGAATATTTATAGCTAACATAGATCAAACAGTTAAGAAAATTTGCTTTTATTGCCTCTTTATTTCATCTGAGTAATAATGTGATCAAGACTAGAGATACAGAAGTTAATAGGCTTAAGATGGCACTCATTAAAAATCCAGACAGGATCAACTCCCTTGGTGTTGTAAGCAATAACTAGTTCTAAGTCTCATTAGTTACAATGCCAAGTTAAATTTGCTTTGAACATCTCATTAAGAAAATATTATGTCAGGAAAAGACTTAATTTTGACAGCAGTACTCTAGGATGACCACTTCCCAAAGTATATTCATTTTACAGAACACTGTTGTTGTTGTTGTTGTTATGTGCCGTCGAGTCAGCCCTGACTCATAGCGACCCCTCCTTGGGTTTCCGAGGCAGTATCACTACGGAAGTAGGATTGCCCAACCTTCCTTCCGAGAAGTGGCTGGTGGGTTTGAACCGCCAGCCTTCTGGTTAGCAGTCAAGTGCCTTAGCCACTATGCTACCAGAGCTCCTACAGAACACTAGTCCTATGAAATGCCGAAGAGTTCTGGGGTCTAATAAATTTGAGAAACAGGCATACTACATAGTTTGGCAGTCATGCACATGTTAGCAAAGACTCTGTGAAGTCCTGTAGCAAAGCAAAGACTACTGTGTTCCAAAGTTATTTAACAATCTCTTATTTTTTTTAAACACTTATCAACATCTCAGGAAAATGTACTCTGTAAGACACATGTTTGGAAATGCTATTCTAGACAACAGAAATTCTCAAGACATCTCATATCTAATTATATCCTAGGGCAGAAAAGTATGTATTATACACCAAAAATACTTACTGTGTAAGATTCAACTAATACTGTGGTTTCTAAAGCCAGTTTCTGCTCCTGCTCAATATTATACCCCACATAACACAGTTTTTCTTTAATCATTCGGACAGTTTCAAAATCAGCAGAATGGTTGAAGGCATATCCTCGCAACAGAAGCAGCTGTTAATAAAAATAGCAAGTTCACAATTGATTTGAGTTCATCTCTGCAAAAGCTTTCGTTGCAAACTAAATATGCCACATACATACCAAATGCAACAGGCAGTCGATCCTCAGTTCTTACTAAATATTTCAGAAACAGGGATTTCACTTGCCATAAAAGAATTATTTCAGTTTCACAGAAAGTAACGCAATTAATAGTACGTGAATATTAAATAAAAACAGCTAGAAAAACAAGTTCATTTAAAAAAAGTCAAGAGTACTATATAAGTACTACGTTTAAATAGTTTTGATAAGCAATTAAGTCTATTAATGAACAGATACTATTTTAGTATCAAACTCCTATAATTGAAATCTGCTCAGTCAACGCTACATTCATTAACTAGAACTAGGTCTTATAAGTTTTATCCCTAGCTTCTAGCACGGTGCCCAACACATATTAGGAAGGCAATATTTGTTAAACTAATGAACGATAATTGATGGGATACTCAAGGGCATAATCTTTTAAGTGTTAGATTTCTTAGAAAATGCCAGAAATTATTACTATTTAAAAAGCAATCTGCTATAAAAAGGAACAATAAAAAAAGCAACCTATTGATAGGGGAAAACCAAAACAAAACCCCATCATAAACACAACTGGATTTTTCATATAAAGACTTTAAAAACCTAATCCTCCTATCTTTGCATTTACATAGAAAAGACTCTTCCAAACTCATTTAGTGGTTACACTTAGACAGAATTTTGGTCTAGTTAATTCTCATTAATTTAAACTCCCCAAGTGATAAGGATTACTCTCTAAAAGAGATTAAACGAACCCAATGTCAAGGTGAAGGTTTAATGCAACCCAATTCAATGCACAGACATTGGACTACAACAGGGTTTCTCAATAGTGGCACCATTGGCATTTTAATCCTAATTCTGTTGTGAAGGCTGTCCTGGGCATTGCAGGGTGTTTAGCAGCTCCCTAGTGTCTACTCACTAGATGCCAGTAGCACCCCTGTCCAGTTACAACAACCAAAAATGTTCTAGACATCACCTGGAGGACATTATCCTTGGTTGAAAATCACTGCCCTAGAGATATATACTGACTTTAGAATTCTGGAAAGATAATATTCTAAACTTTTAAAAATATTACAATATATATACTTTCCAAACAGAGGCCTTAGTTATCTAGTGCCACAAGTGAGTGGCTATAATGAACAGACTTTAGGTTGCCAGCTCCAGGGAAAGGCTTTTCTCTCTGTTGACTCTGTAGGAAGGTCCTTGTCTCTTTGAGCTGCTTCTGCTCCTGGGCAATCTTCATGTGGCTTGGCATGTGTCTTTCCCCATTTTTTCTTCTGCTGGCTTAGTTTATCCCTTTTATGTCTCAAGAGACTGACTCAGAATACATCCTACACCAATCCTGCTTAATTAACTTAACAAAGACAACCCATTCCCAAATTATACCCAAGGTATAAAAATTAGGACTTATAACACATATTTTTTGGGGACACAATTCAATCCCCATCAAGGCCTTATATATTTTGTCTAGCAATGTTTTAAAGAAAATTGTAACTAATTATATTCAGAAATAAACTTTAAAATACTAAATATTAAAAATTGGACATATTCCATGAGATCCACAAACACTAAAACTTAGGCACATCCTGGCCCTGTTTTTATTAAGTATCATTAATCTGCTATCTGTATTTTGGGGAAAGAACAAGAAAATAGAATTAAATCAAGGTTATGCCTTTAAAATACACCCGTTCAAAGACAGGTTTTAAGCCAGAAAAGGCGGCCTAAGTTGTCCAAGGAAGTTTTAATGTCTCTCTCATCACTGAAATGCCATCCCCTCTATCCGTTTTTCAGGAATAGCAAAAATAATTATGTAATGAAATAATGTATTCTCATTAGTGTACCAGAGATCATGTGTGTTAACTCGTATGTGGAAATTGGGTGATTTCTCTAGATGTCAATGATTTGTTAGCATCTTGAGATGATATACTCAATTTCATATTAAGTTGGTAAACACAAATTACAAAATTTGATTTTGATGATTTCCATGACGTTTTCCTTTCACTTACCTTGATGAGATATCTGGTAATATCCCTTCCAGCAATATCAAGTCTCCTGGTAAGGTGAGGGAGGGAAAAGCCTTCATACACTGGGCAAATGTGAGTTACACCATCTCCAGAGTCCACTACTACACCAGTTAGTAGACCTGTGTGAGAACCATGAGGGTTTAAACAAAAAGCCAAATCAGTAAATGAAAGCTAGCAAATTTAAAATATTAGTATAGATGTCAAACTAACAACTTAACCAACTGGAAAGGTCCAGAAATGGATAAGAGAGTGCCTTCTCCTATAGCTAGCACCCTGCATCTGGACTTACAGACTCCAAAACTGTGATGAAACATATTCCTGTTCATTAAAGCCACCTACTCTCTGTTACAGCAGCAATAGGTAACTAAGAAGCTGTTATCAGAGAGTAGGGTGTTCCTGCAACAAATACTTAAAATGTGGAAGTGGTTCTGGAATTGGGTAATAATAGGTACAGTCTGGAGGAATTCGGATATGCTGTACCGTAGGCCCTTGAAGTGACCACTGAGAGAATAATCATGGACATCACAGGAAATTCTGGTGAAAAAGTGAGGTGAGTTATAGAGAAAGTCTCTATCATCTTAGAGAATACATATGGTGTCATCAACAAAATGTTGTTAAATATTAGATGTTAAATATGCTTCTGTCGAAGCTTTAAAAAGAAAACGATGAACACGTGATTGCACAAAGGACAAAGGGTGATACAACTTGTAAGTGATGAACTTGGGTATTTAGCTGAGACAGCATGGTTTCTCCTTGTTGCTTATAGCAGAATGCAGGAGGAAAGAGGTGGACTTAAAACTGAACTGTGCAAAATGAAAGCAGATGGGAAGATTTGGAAAATTCTGTTGTATAAACTGTTGTTGGAAACGTGCCCTAAAGACTTGGAAACTCAGTCTTTTGTTAAAGAGATTAAGCCTGTGATCGATGGATCCATTCAACCACTGGAAAAAAAAAATGCCACCAGATTAGACTGAAAGGGAGAGGCAGTACAAAGTGAAAGAAAGCTGCCCGTACCCTGGAATTCTATAGGCAGGAAACAGGTCAATGGAATGACTTGACTTGAAACATCTCCAAGGAAAGAAAAAGACCATCCCTGGAGCAGTTAGGAGCTCAGCAGAACTGTTGGAAGGAGCATGGGAAGCAGGGCAGCTTTGGTTTCAAAGGGTGGAGGTCTCCTAGGTTTCAAAGTGTCAGACCTCCACCAATTAACTCAGTTCAGGAGTATGGCGCTGCCAACCAAATCTGAGAGGGCGGGGCTGCCAAGCCCAAGGGGCAGGAGAAAGGCATCTGTTAGTGCTAGGTGGGGGGTTGCCTGAGGTAAGACTAGAAGACTTGGGGAGTCCAAAGCTGAGGGAGCAGAGTTGCTGTTTCAGTGGTCCTCCTGGAAGGTAGGGCTAAAGCCCAGTGTCGAGGGACCTCTACTCAGAATCCAGAGAGTGGTGGCCAACACCTAGAGTCTGGAGGGTGATGCCAATGCAAAGACAGTATGGGAGAGCAGGAGATTATTTTCAAGCATTGAGAGCTAATATTGTAAGTTGTTCCTTTTTTTACTTGCTTGGTGCGCATTAGCCCTTCTTTCCCTCCAATTTCTCCCATTTATAATGGAAATGTCTACCTTGTGACTGTTGCACCATTGTACTTTGGAAGCAGATAATTTGTATTCTAGATTTCACAGGTTCACAGATGAAGAGGAATTTTGCCCTAGGACGTAGTATGCCTAAAGTCTCACCCATATGAATTAAATGATTCAGAAGATGAGATTTTGGATTCAGAGTTCATTAATACTTTTGGGATGATGTGATGTGGTGAATGTGTTTTGCATGTGGGAAGGACATGAATTTTCGCAGAATAAATGGTAGAATGTTATAGACTGAATTGTGTTCCTCCAGAATAAGTGTGTAAATCCTAACCCCTATACCTGTATGTTGGGAGCTTTGGTAGCATAGTGCCTAAGGCATTTATTTGACTGCTTACCAGAAGGCTGGTGGTTCAAACTCACCAGCCACTCTTCAGAAGAAAGGTGGGCAACCTACTTCTGTAGTGGTACCACCTCAGAAACCCAAGGAGGGGTTGCTATGAGTTGGATCTGACTCAAACTGCTTCAATAGAAAAAATTGTTTAAACCAGAATATGCATTCTTTTTAACTTGTTAAAGTATTATTTATTATTTTCCAATCTCCAAATAGTGTCTCTCTCTCTCTCTTCAGTAATGTAAACTTGGATGCACCCTAGTATCTAATGGTAATGATTTATCTTTGAATATACTTCACGAATGAATGAAATGAATACATTACATTTTCATTTAGTTACTCAGGACTCCTATCACTCCATATAAAGTTGAGGACTGGTAATACATTTACTGAAACCACCTTCTTTTGATTGATGCTGTTTGAATGCTGCATTCTTTTAAACAAGACTTGCACTACAAAAAGAGGACCCACAACATCACAATGCAAAAATAAAATACTTTCCTCAATGGAAAGTGGGGATTTGACTTAATTTCATTTCCTAAACAGCTCTACCCACCAAACCTTACCTTATTTTCAACCACCCCAACAGTTTACATACCAGCCTTTCCTTTATACATCTGACTCACTTCCAGTGCCACACCCTTGATTACTGGATTATCCCTGCTCACCACTCCAATTCCTGCCAATTCTTTAAGGCGCACTCTACTTCTTACCTTCACATTTATACTTGCCCTGAGAACACTAACCTCCAGCCCAGATTCTCTCATTTCAGTTATCTTCCCACCAGCTGGTCCATGGGAGAAAGATGAGGCGATCTGCTTCCTTAAAGATTTACAGCCTTGGAAACCCTGTGGGGTAAGTTCTACTCTGTCCCTCATGGCTGCTATGAGTCAGAACTGACTTGATGGCAGCTGGTTATTGAGAAATCAAATTTTTTTTGGACATAATATACAGTTAATAACTCTAACTTCATAGAATTGCTTTATCTATAAATTAAGCTTCACCTACCTTGAGCATACAAAGTCAAGACCGCCTGAATGGCTACATATACTCCAGAAAACTGGTACATTTCAAACATGACCTGAAAATGCAGAAAGAAAAAAAGATACATATTGGTATTTAGAAAGCTACTTAATACCTCTTTTAAATGTCTATAAAAAGAGTGACTATTTGTATGCTTTCTTCATGGTCACTGAGTGAATTAGTTACCCGAAATAGAATCAAAGGGACCTCAGAGTCTTCAATCCTCATGAGCTCCTCTTGCCTCTATTATAGTACTGCTGTCACAGCTCTAATTTTGAGGACAGATTTTCAGATACCTCCTGAGTCCCCCAGCATTTCCCAAGTGCTACAAAATAAAGCTATCTGAGTGTTTTAGTCAATGGCTAATGAAAGTGAAAGAAAGCTTTCTGCATTCGATTAAGCCTCTCTTAATTGATACCCCTTAAGGGAAATAGATTTTAATGCGAAGACAAACTACAGAAATCGCTTCACTGCTAGGCCTATTACCCTTCTCCCCTAACCTGGGCCAAGACATTGGCTCTACCCTTAGCAGATTTAAAAAAAAAAGAGGAGGAGGAGAAGTACGTAATAAAACGGGAAGGAAGCATGACAAAAATAAATGCAGTTAACTACTGATTTCTGGCATATATAGAAACTGCTTAGCTGCTGAGTACCCCCCCTCTCTACTTGAGTCAAGGCTGTGGCTCCACCCCCAGTGGCGGGAGGGGTTCCTTGACCCCCTTTGATCACACTCAAGTTCATTCTCTGCAGCTCAGGTCAGATGGGAGTATTCTGAATGACTTTTCTGTCATTTATAGTGAGCTCTCCTTGACCTGCATGGTTGACTACAGCTCTGAATATTTAAATATTTAAAAATGTTACAACTTTCCACAATGAAATATGTATAGAATTTAAATTTTATAACATGGCAAAATATGCAAATTTACTAAAGTACATCAATAAAACCACTAGGGATTCTGACTAGACTGCATTCTATCATCCTTTTTTCCTCCCTCCACAGGAATGAAAATGGAAAAATGATGGTATATTTGCACATATCAACCTGAAAGTTTGCTAGAAGTTTTTTGTATTTTTAAATAGACCATTAAAAAGTACCAAAAACCTTCTAGATGCGATTAAAGTAGGGTATTATATCAGTCATAGCCAAATTTGCACTCACAACAAGCAGTAAGAGTATTAAAGTATCAACCATAGGGAGTAACATGGATTGTGTAACTAAAAATGTGAACTCAAATTTTTAAAACACTTAATTCAAAATTTGAATTTTAATTCAGACTTACAATATTATCTATCAAAAATCTCTTTTAAACTCCTTCCAAAATTTTCATCAACATATAAACATGTTCGTAAGAGTAAAACAAAGAATTTATATTTAGTAACTTAACCAGGAAACTATTAAAAATGTCTCTGTAAGTTTCTATTTCATATCTAACAAAATGAAAAACCCACCACTGTCTACTTCTTTGATGAACCATATACTCCACATGCTGATGACTCTCAGTTTTTATCTCCAGTCCTAGAACTCTGGGTGTTTCTCCCAAACTTGGGTCTTACATATTCAACTCTATCTACTTCACTTTTCTACTTGGGTGTTTAAATGGGGACTTTAATCTTAACATTCAAAACTGAATTCCCAATCATTCTTCCAAAATCCTGTTCTATCTATCTTACTCTTTCCCTACTTCATAGTGGTAACTTCATCTCTCCAGTTACTCTGGTCAAAAACTTTGGAGTCATCTCTGACATCCCTTCCCCCAAACGCCCTGCCCACATACACCCTCTACTAACTCCTTGGGTTTCCGAGGTGATATCACTACAGAAGTAGATTGCCCAACCTTCCTTCCCGAGAAGTGGCTGGTGGGTTTGAGCAACTAGCCTGGTTAGCAGTCAAATGCGTCAGGCCCTACGCCACCAGAGCTCCCACACCCTCTATTAGCCATATCTACTCCATCAGAAAATTTTCTGGCCCTACCTTCAAAATATATCCACAGTTTGGCCACTTCCAATTACTTCCCTGGTCCTAATCATCATTTGCCTAGATAACTGAAAGTCTCCAGATTGGTCTCTCTTCTTCCATCCTTGTTTCCCCATGGTTAATTCTCCACACAGCAGCTAAGAAAACCCAAATCTGAGCAGGTCCCCTTCCTGTAACCCCTCCCCATTTAACTCAGAATGAAAGCCTAATTCCCTTCAAGTACCTACAAAGCCCAAATGATCTGACCCCCAATTACTTGTCAGACCTCATCATCTCCTGTTGCTTCCCCCTCACTTTCAACCACCTCTGTCCAAACACACTGACTACTTCCTTTTTCTGGAATGCTCTTCCCTCACACATCCTAGCCAGGGCTCTGAAGCAAGTCTTCCCAATTCAGTCACGGCCAACACAGTGAAATCAGAACAGACCTTAATTTTTAAAATTTGAATGAAGTGCAATGCTAATTGGAAAGGGAAATATTACAGGTTGAAGCCCTGTAATGGGAGACTTAGAAGAGGTATAATGAACCCTTTCAGGAACCTGATGTGGGAGATTAGATTACTGCCACGACTGTGAAGTATTCAAAAGCCTGTGCAACATTCAAAGCCCTGCAGTCAGCTGCCATCTTTGAGCAAGGCTCCACTGTTTCATACTCTGTGGGATAAGAGATATCATTGCTATGTGATGCTCACACTGCCCTTGTTTTCTAAGAAGGAGATTAAGTTTCTAGTAGGGCATCAACTTGTAATTTTTCCTGTTCCAGTTATCATTCTGGTACATCCACATTTTACAAATTTGGGTCCATTCTAGTTTTGCTTTATCAGCCATGACTAAACTGGGAAGAAACAGTTTGAAGCCCCATCCTGGCTAACTCCCTAACCTCATCTTTATTTAAGCATTACCTTCTCATGGAGGTCTACTACCACACACATATTTTGTACTACTGCAACCCCTCCATCCTAATCCCCTTTAACCTTACATCTATGTCCTTTAGCGTCTATCACCTTTTAACAAACCATTTAATTAACTCACATATTAATTTTTTTTTCCCCTCATTTGTTTTCCCTTGCTAGAATGTGAGCTCCTGGGCAGCAAAATTTTGTTTTGTTTACTGGTATATCCTACTTAGAATAATAACTATCATCCAAGTTGGTACTCAATACATAGGATCTGGGGATAACAAGTTATTTTTATTCCCTTTATCAATAGCAACAATAAGTGAGAGAAAAGGAGTAATTTTTGCTTTAACATTACATCACAGAAATACACCTATGAATATGCCACCTAAAAACTTACCTCTACAATCTTTTCTCTGTTTTTAGTTGGGTTCATAGGAGGTTCTGTGAGTAAGATTTTACAATTTCTGGTATCTATGTTAAGTTTCTCTGGTCCAAATGTATAATCCCACAGGTGTTTCATGTCATCCCAATTTCGGACTATGCCATTTTCCATGGGATAGTTTACTTCCAACATTGAGCGTAACTCACTAGCCTCATCGCCAACCATAAGATCCTAGAAAATTAGAATAGTAAAGCTTTAGACCAAATTTTTGCATAATACATCTTCAAAAAATCATATTCCCATGGTATTTCAGAAAATTTGGGATTAACTAATTTTAATATTTATAGCATAAGTTTTTCACTCCACAAGTTAAAACTCTTCTTTCAAGAAAAATGCTTGTGAAGTTTAATTATAGATAATAAAATTTTATTTACAATGTGGTTTAAATCAATAAATTGACCTTACCTTTAAGATATATGTTTCCAAAAGATGAGCATTAGCACAAATAAACCCCACATTTTCATATTTTGGAAAGTTTTGAATGAGGTTTCATCTGTTTCTTTTGCTCAAATGTTCAAAAAATAAGGCCTGTGATATGTGAAATAGCACATCAGGGGAAAACAAAAAAACTTGTAGAAAAATGCTCAACGCATGCAGCACATTTCTTTGCACTAGATATAAAAATGATAAAAGTACTATAAAGCATAATGAAAGAAGCAAAAAAAAATAACTAAAATGATTCTTTATTATACTATAATAATGCATATATACACCAATAACTTGTAAATTTCACAAATTTTTTATCTATATATGCCTGCATTAGAATTTATATTAAGTTTCTATACATGTTTCACCAAGATGAATGAGAATCTCTACAGATACAAAAAAAAGTAAGGAGTAAGGCACAAGGAAACAACCTTTCATTAAAATAATCTCACATGAGAAATATTTTCAATCTTAAAGCGTAATACTGGAAAACTGTGCTATCACTGCTGAAGCAGAATACTCACAAATCTTGTCTCCAATGAAAGCATACTTAAGATGACCCACATTTGAAAAGTCAAATTCTGTATGTATAATAAGGATAATGATGTCCTAGAATTTAAACTTATTTTAGATATCCTCTAGTCAAGATGTTAAATAATATTAATTCCTACATGTACTAATGAATTCAATTAAAAATAAAAACATAGTTATCAGAAATAGCTATTTGCCAAAAATACTTCAAGTTTAAAATATGAGGACATGAAGAAAAGCAGCAGCAGCAAAATTAACATGAGATGTTTTAAGATGAAGGCTTGAAAAATGAGATAAAAACTGAATAAATAAATAAATAGATCAAAGGTCAAACCAAGGTGAGAACCCTATTACAAAAGAACTAGATCTCTGGAAAATCCACTGAAAGCAGTAACAAAAAGGGAAAACAAAGTTAAAATAAGTGCTAGAAGTGTTCATTAAAACTTCCCTGCTGCAATTTCTTACACAGTTAATTTACCATGATTTATTACTTAAATTTCTTCCACATCAACTATTTAGAATCATCTATATGGAAATACAAAACTAAAAATCTGTATTTGTGGACTTCAGTCCACAATGTGTATGTTGAAATATCTAGGAGCCCTGGTGGCTTGGAGGTAAAACACTCAGCTGCTAATTGAAAAGTTGTCAGTCTGAACCCACCTGATGTTCTGCGGGGACAAAGTTGTAGCAGTCTGCTTCCATAAAGATTTACAGCTTTGGAGATGCTATGGGACAATTCTACTCTGTCCTATAGGGTCTCCATGGGTCAGAATTGACTCCATGGCAATGGGTTTGGTTTTTATTAATATCTGCAATTTATTTTGAAGTAACACAAAAACCAAGATGGGTTGACAGGTAGTTAAGTGATGGGTATATGGTTTTCACTATAAAATTCTTTCAACTTTGTTACATATTTGAAACATTTCTTAATAAAATGTTGGGGGAAAACTCTATACCTGTAAGTGTTGTTCATTAGCAAATCTAACTCAATAAACAATTTTGTTACTTACTTTCCCCTACAACATACCAGAATTTAAAATTTTCTTTGTGCTGTACAAGGTGATAGATTAGATTCATAGAACCAACACATATTCACAACTATTCTTCAACCAATTTGCAGTAAGTCTGATTTGATAGCATCAGAATACTTACTTTTTATTCCATGTAATAAGAGAGGCCTATATATGCCTGATGTCAATACCAACTCAAAATAAAAGCCTCATTTATCTACTTCTAGGACCATATATACTATAAAAGATGAGCTGAAAGAAATGTCTGGCATTGAGCATCCTTACCACCCCTCTGAACAAAGAGGAAATTTGAAATGGAAGGAAAAAAAGTATTAATTTACTTGAGAAAGGCAAAATTTCTTGAGTAGCTCATACTACCCTGTTCAAAAATTTATCTCTATTTAAATTTTAATTAAAAATCCTAGAACATACGATTTTCCCTGGAAAACTTAAACTTCCCAAAACCAAACACTGCCCTCACATCTCAGAAACAAGTTATAGGTAACCAGGTCAAGCCTTAGGCTTTTATAGGTATTTCACCATTGGAGGCTCAAGCCTAAACCATCTCCTATTACTTGAGAGAATGAAAAATCAAAGTAATTATATGAGATGCCATTTCAAAGGCATTTATATTTGACAAAAAGTGGGCAGTGGAGATTTTATTTGCCAAGAATTATTTTGAATAATGTCACCTCAATATTAGAAAATAGAGCAAATGCAACTTTAAAACTATCATTTAAATCCCTGGAAGGAAATTCTATGAAGAACATTAGGGCCACACTGTTCTCTATACTCTTTCTCAATCTCTATAATTTACATCAAATGTCTGCTCTTTCATATAGGATAAATATAGGAATTTCTACTTTTAAATGGTTTTGTTTATCTAAAAGAAAGCTTCACAAGTTACTGTCATTAATTAAAATAAAGCACTAGAAATGCCTGATATTTGTCTTTGTTAAAGATGCTTCCAAAGGATAATAAATAAACAAAATTTGAAAATACCTACTACAGAAGCACTATCACAGAAAAAAGTCACTTGGAAAGAGCTCAGTAAGTCAGAAAGTTTCTAGTTCAAAAGAAAGAGGCACGACATAATGGTATTTATTTTAGGGAAAAAAATCTGTTGTTTGTGGAAGTCTTACAAATGTTTCACTTTTTTTTTTTTTTTGAGGGGGGTCAAATGCTTCACTTTTTTATTTATCCTCAGTAAATTTTGTCAAATCTGTTTATCAACAAGGATGGTTTAGGAAAACAAGTCAGTTTCTTTGCCTCTTCTAGTTCATCTGATATAAAAATTTATTAAATCCACATAACTGGATGCAAACATATATACAGGCTATGAAAGGAAATGTTCAATTTAACACTGGTCAATAAAGCAAATTTATCCAAATGTAACAACTTCACCCCAATTTTCTGGATCACACATATCCTATATAAAGCCACTTGGTTTCTAGTATTATGCACACCACATTCCATTTTAATTATAGCATTCATCTATAAGAAACAAAGGGAAAACAATTCAAAACTATGTTAGTAATTAGTTCTTGTTTGGTCTATTGTATGAAATCAAAAAGTAAAGGACTTAATTAGTTGCTACCAAACAGAAGCAATGAAAAAGGTTAAAAAAATCAAAGTATTTAAAATAAAAATATGGAATTAACCCCCCTCCCCAATACTAAAGGGACACAAAACATCAACTACTGTCCCACCAAGCAAAAGTGGAAAACAAACAGAGAGCATGTGTGTAACCTCACTTACCATCTTTTTGTTATTCTACTTCAACAGGTCAAGAAAGGTGAAGAAAGAGAAGGTAGAAGTAAGAGTCAGAAAAGGCCTAAATAAAATCCTCACTGAAATTTTTAAACATACAAGCAATAGAGACAAATTAGGTAGAGGTCAGATGCAGTACTGTTATTATTTTATGGAGTTAATAATTAGGGCCAAATTAACAAGGACAGTTATTACTCCTAAATGATAATTAACTCATTAAATAATTTAAAATTCCACCTTTTTTGGTCTACCACCACATTTTAGCCAACAAGATACAAAAAGTATAAGTCAATCCACTAAGCACAGGAATTCAAAAAAATCAAGTTTCTTGAATTTGTTGAAGTTAAGAATTTTAATTAAGGAAAATAAATGATAATAGAAAAGGTCTAGCTGGGTAGGCTGAGAGATAGTTCAGGGTTGTTTTTTTTTCCCCCCAAATTCTAATAATCTAGTTAAATTTGACACAGACCCCTTTTACTGTTTTCTACTGGAAGAACAGTATAATTTGAAAGGCTTAAAGATTGAGCAGACTGAACAGAACTGAGCAACAGAACACAGAATGACAAACCATATAAGCAAATGTTATTGGGGAATTAACTGGCAAAAATGTCTTATTAGGCAAGTTTGATTTCTGTCACTTGGCCTTAAAAAGCAAGAAAGTGAGAGTGAAGAGATGTGTAATTATTTGTGCCTATGTTGGAGAATAATAATGGCTATACATGATGCATCTTACAACATCAAACATTTTACTGTCCATAAAGTATATAAAAAAGCAATTCTTCTTTAGTTTATCTTTACCCCTATCATTAGCTAAATTTTAAGTCAAAGTACATTTGAGATTGAATTTAACCCGAATGAAAGGAGTTCACAAAAGGAGAATAAGGAATAAGAAGAAAAGGAATAAGGAATAAATTTCTTAACAGAAAATCCACCTACTGCTGTCGAGTCGATTTGACTCATAGTGACCCCTATTGGGTTTCTGAGGCAGTAAATTTTTACAAAAGTAGGTTGCCCAGTCTTTCTTCCGTGGAGCAGCTGGTGGGTTTGAACCACCAACCTTCCAGTTAGCAGTCAGACGTCTTAGGCACCATGCTACCAAAGCTCCATCCTAATAGAAAAGACCTTAAAAGATAAAATAAAACTTCATATTATGCACCCCAATTGATTTTTTGGTAACATAATAAAATATGAAAAAGAGGCCAAAATAATTCACTACTTTAAGTCTTCAAAAAATTAACAAAGAAAACTAAATTTCAGTTTGTATTTTTACTCACATTGTAATTCAATTCCATATTCTCAACAGCAGAGAGCTACCAAGTAGCAAATCCCTACTATCTATTACCACTTTTCTAGATAACACAAACAAATGTCCCAAAGAGGTACACCCTAACTCACATTTCAAATGACTCATAATCTAACAGCTCATGGAAATCTTGCCAAAGACTGCCCTGATAGGATCAACAATGCTAGCTTGTTCACAAATAATTCACTGAAAGAACCTGTAAATTCTACTACTACATTCTGTATAACCTGATCCATAAGCCATCTGAAGAATTTAAGTCAACTGGCCCTTTCTTTTTTTAGTTTCTTCTAAAGCAGTGTAACTCTCACTTGATATCTGATCCCTTTAATGTAGGAGAAAAATCTATCATCCTTACTGATGTTAGGTACAATGAGGTGTCAGTGCAATTTTCCCTCCTGGGTCCTCACGGTAAGATAAATTGTATAAACTCAAATAAAGACTTGCATGGCTTCCTCCTGAACACTATGGAAATCATATACATATACATATATACATATAAGTAACGGGATCGGGCCATGAAAACATGGAAAGAAAATGTCTAAAGTCTCAAAGAGACACTAACATAAAATAGCAGATACATGGAACTGGAAGACATAAAAATACCAGGCTGACTTTAAAAAAAAAAAAAAAAAATTATACTAAGTAATAGGGCTTTTAGTCAGTATTTTTATTTACTTTAGTTCTTGTACCTTTGTTCAAGTGTTGATATAAATGGAAAATGAGACATTCTGCCCTCCCCTCATGCTTTTCATGGATATTTTAAAGCTATTTAATTTAAAGAACACCTCACAGGTTTAATCCTCATTTATTAATAAAAAAAATATTACCTTGATTTCAATGTTTCCCACTTTGGTTGTTGATCTGATAATAGGTCTTCCAACCAAAGCTGGGAAGATGTGTTCTGGAAAGTTAGAGCCTGCATATCCACACTTTACAAACTGGAAAGAAACAATAAAAGTGGATTAATGTCAAAGTATTTACTAACTTGCATATCTGTTTAAAAACAGTACCTGAAAAACACCACTTTGCATTTATACAGTATTTTACATTTTCAGTGCTTTCAAATTACCTAATGTAGCCTCTATCACATCATCTCCTTTCATTCTTTTTTAGTATTGACCACTCACAGAGTTTTTGTTTATTTACTGATTAACTGTTGACTTACTGTCTGAGACCGCCTGTAGAGGGGAAAGCCTGACAAGAGCAAGGAGCTAAGCTGAGCAGTTCATACTGGAGTATGATGCCTAGAAGAGGCCCTGGCACAGAGTGGTTAGTCAAAAAATCTGGGGAGTGGACAAACTCATTCAACAAATACTAAGTATTTTTTAAAAAAGAAATGTTAGCTGTTGCGGTGCAGTAAATTATATAGTGTGGCTTTTCTAGCAGTTTAAGTCTTTGTAAATTCTGTGGTGGAATTTGCCCTGAGCAACTGAGTAGCTCCTGACTGTTAAAGTTATCCACCTGGGGTATTTCTGTTGGGAGCAGCACAAAGTAATTTTCTGAGAAGTTCGTGCTCTCTCACTGTATAGAACTCTGATGTCGGGATTGGTTAGTCTGGCCACTCTGCTGGACTCAAAAAGAGCCCTCCTAGAGGCAGAAGAAATCTCTCACTGCTGCCTGGGAGTCAGTGGGCTGAGAGACTGAGCGTGTTCCTGAATTGTGGCCTGTTGCTTCCTTAATAAACCCCATAATCTGTGAGTTCTGTGTAGTCACAAACCCAGCAGAGAGGTGATGGGTACAACAGTTGGTGAAAGGGCTGGAGGGAGGCAGCATGTCTGGCTTCGCAGGAATAGGCCTTGGGCTACGATGGTGATTGTGTCTTCCTCTTGTGGGGTTAGAGGAGGTCAGAAGATGTGGCCTCCCTGCCCCTTTGGCACTGATGAGCCCAGGACAAAAGATTCAATTCTAAAGCAGGCTTGTATTAATCTTAGGCAATTCATGTAACTAACCTCATTTTCTAAGACGGGAAAAGCAAATGGCTCTCAGAGCAGCATCACATAAGTATAAACATTATTAGGTATACATAGAGTATTTGATTATTTACATTTTACTTAAATATTTAGATTAATACCAGTAATACAATTTCACATTCAAATAGCGTACATCTCCAATAAAGGCACCTCATAGACTCCAATAATACATTTTATGCATGAGAAACTGGTATAGAAGTTTTAATGACTGCTACAGTAAAACTGTTGTTGTTATTTGCCATAGAGTCGGCCCCGACTCCTAGCGACCCCTCCTTGGGTTTCCGAGGCAGTTATCACTACGGAAGTAGGATTGCCCAA